AGAAGCACAAGGGCACGGCCAAGGATGGCGAGGGGAAGGAGAGGAAGCTGCTGCTCCAGTTGGAGGCTCGGATGAGAGAACGAGAGGCATCGGACATACACTTCAAAGGCCCGACGGGCCACCCTGTATATTTGGCGATGAAGGCGGCCACCACCAAATACGAGAGCCTAGTGCGCGAGGCAGGAGCAGGACACGAGCATGGATCACCGCATCTTCACGCCGCAGCGGCTCTGCTCACGACACTTGCGTCCACGACGACAGAAGGCAAAAGCGACGAAGTTCAGTGCGTGTTCCTGGCCATAAAGCGGCTCGACAAAGCGAGAGAGGAGTCCAGCCATCACGGCTAGCCTTCCACTTTAACGGACACTGGCCAGTGGGTCTGAATCTCGGACAAGAGCAGCAATTGGCAGACAAGAAGTTTCATCCACAGGAGATCAACACGGCGGACGGATACACGTGGGCAGCGGTGAATCGAGTGGTACCACTGGCGTTGAGGGCGTCGGGACTGACGAAGCTTCCAGGCAAGGCTCCCGTGGGTGGCTTGGCCTACTCGATGCGCCGCTAGCACCTGAACCACTGCGAGGGCGAGAACGAGGCAGGCTCCCGCGGGTGCGGCAGCGTGAGCAGCAGGCAGCCAGCAGTTTCTCGCAGAGAGTGCCCTCCCCTCCTCGTCCTCCGCCGCCTGGAGCCATCCCCTCTCTTTCCTACCTCAGATCCCTCAGTGTCCGATCGCGGGAGGACAGGCTGGAGGCCCTTCGCACGCGTGTGAGGTTAAGAGAATTAACCCGCAATTCAGAGTATAACTACCCCCGCGCCACGAGACCACTGCCCGCGCTGCGCGCGCATAGGCAGCGGTCTCTGGCCTTGCGCCCCCCTTAAGTCCCAAAGGCCCCCTCTGGTCAAGTATAAACCTAGGCTCTGCGGTGCCCAAGAAGAGCGAGCATTGCCAGCTGGCATGGACATCGATGCAGATAGCAGCAGCAGCTCCTCCTCCTCCTTCTCCTCCTCCTCCTCCTCCTCCTCCTCCTCCTCCTCCTCCTGCTCCTGCTTCTTCTCCTCCTCCTCCTCCTTCTCCTGCTCCTCCTCTTCCTCCTGCTCCTCCTCCTCCTCCTGCTCCCGGAGGGGAGGGGCTAATTACGCGAAGGAGGAATGGGCGGGGCAGGGCTGGGCTGGCCTGGGAGGGCGGATGACCCGCAGGAGGGCGGGCAGGAGAGGGGGGGGGGAAGACGGACGGGGCTCCGTGCCCCGCCCCTCTGCCGTGGCCTCCTCCGTCGCCCGCCTCACCCATTGTTCCTTGCCCTTCCCCTCCGGCCGCCCTCCCCCCCCCCCTGCCCCCCCCCTTCTGCGGCCCGCTCCCGGCTCTGCTCCTCGCCGCTCCCTCCTGCCTCCTCTCCGAGGAGGCGGATGCGGTGCAGGAGGGGGAGGGCGAGGGGCGACGGCGGGGGCAAGGGAAGAGGAGGGCAGTGCGGCAACATGGTCAGAGCGCGAGGCTGGCGTGGAGAGCGCAGGGTGCCCATGCGGTGCGCGCCAGGGGGGCCACGAGGAGAGGGAGCAGGAGAGGGTCAGAGGGGGCGAGACCGCACGAGAGCGCAGGTTTTCCGAAGCGGCCTGCGCTCGCCCGGATCGAAGGCCCCGAAATTTGAAAGCCGGGGCCCGGATGTTGTCCCGCTGCTTCTCTCCGACATCCACGGGCGTGTGGTTTCCCTCTGGCATCCACGGGAGGAGTGGGAGAAGGACGAGGAATTGGGTCACCTCCGCGAGAGGGACGAGGGGCCACGTCACGGAAGAGAGGGCCAGTTGAGGCGTCGGCGGCTATCCCGCCGGGCCCGATTCGCTTTCCAGATGGGCCCCAGGACCCCATACGGGGGTCCACGTATATATATGTATATATATATATATTTATATATATATATATACAAGACTGCATTGGCGCTTCGCGCCATGCACCTTGGTCCTTCAAGCCATGCGCCATGCACCCAGCACGATCCTCCGTGGCCTTTGCATTTTGCCCGTTTCGCGCCCAGTTCCTGGGCCCGTTCCATATTTGCTCGCGCCCTCGCTTGGCAGGTCCGCGCGCCACTCGGACTTCTCTTGGGGTGCGCAGCCGATTTTCCTGGAATTTGGTTGCGAACCCAGGATTTCAAGCATTTTGGGGTTTTGCGTGGGATGCCGCTGTCTGGCAAACATCGGAGCAGCGCAGCGAAGCCGTCCCGGAGGTGACGGTCGATTGAGGCGATTCAAAGGTTTTGAAGCCTCTTGGGGAGCCGTTTCGGCTGCCTCTTGGAGAGCCATTTGGGGGCCTCTCGGGTTTTTTGGGGGACCTCTTGGGGGTCCTTGGGGCCTTTTGGAAGCCTCTTGGGCCTCTTGGGGCCCTCCTGGGGCCTCCTGGGGCTCTCTCGGGGCGAAAAGTTTGATGTTTGAACGTTTGATCGCCCTCTGGGGTTCCTCTTGAGGCTTTCTCGGGGCCCTCTTGGGCCCTCTTGGGCGCCTCTTGGGCTGGTTTGGGGCGCTCCAGAGCCGTCTTGGGGCCGTGTTGGGGCCGTCTTGGGGGCTCTTGGCGAGCCATTTGGGGGCCTCTCGGGTTTTTTGGGGGACCTCTTGGGGGTCCTTGGGGCCTCTTGGAAGCCTCTTGGGCCTCTTGGGGCCCTCCTGGGGCCTCCTGGGGCTCTCTCGGAGCGAAAAGTTTGATGTTTGAACGTTTGATCGCACTCTGGGGTTCCTCTTGAGGCTTTCTCGGGGCCCTCTTGGGCCCTCTTGGGCGCCTCTTGGGCTGGTTTGGGGCGCTCCAGAGCCGTCTTGGGGCCGTGTTGGGGCCGTGTTGGGGGCCTCCTGGGTCATCTTGGGGCGCTCTTGAGGACCTCTGGATCTGTCTTGGAGCGTCGGAAAGCTGAAAAAGCGAGAAGGCAGAAAACATCGAAAACACACGGGAAAATTAACCATTTCGGCCTCCAGGGGCCGTCTTGGGAGGCTTCTTTGGGGCCTCTTGGGGCGTCTTGGGGGCTCCTGGGGCTGTCTTGGTGCCATTTTGGGAGGTCTTGGGGGCCTCTGGGGCAATCTTGGGGCCATCTTGGGCGT